GAATTCTACCATCGTACAGAAAATGAAGATAAACCTGGGTTATTAGGAACTCTAGCAAAAACTCCTCCGACTCTTCCTTTTCATTAATAATGCATTATTTTATTAATTACTCACTTCCGAAAGAGCTGAGCTATTCATCTAACGTGCCCTGACACAAGAGATCGGAATAAACGGGAAAATAATACTCTTGGAAAAAGGATTTGAAAGACAGATTTCTCTCCTTTCGAATAATTCGGGAAAATTTCTCGGAAGGCATTCCGATGCGTCTTAACGACTGAAGTTCTTCTGTGAAAAAATGGAATTCGTCGGATAGGATGTCCGTCGATTATTTACGAGAGTGACAGCGAAGTTTGGGGATTATCCATAAGCTGAATGGATGACACAAGGAGAGTAAAGGCGCGATTAATCAGAGAACGGAGGGGGGGAGGGGTAATATTGGCATCTTGAGAACGATCGATTTTCTTTGGAAGCCGAGCTACACGAAGGAAGGCAAATCGTTAAGTTTTGAAGATTCGGTAGGAAAATGCTGGCGTGCAGTAAATAGCGTCACAAACTGGAAAATACAGTAGTACGCAAAGGTAAGATGAGTTTTTTTTGACGATAAAAGAATCAAAATAATGGGAAAAAAATCAAATGAAAAGAAACAATCTTATGAAATGCCTATATGGCATTAGAAACGAATGTTGCGATTTATAACTTTGCATTTTAATATACGTCAATATATTATAAAATGGTATAAAAACTTAAAATATTCAGGAATTCGTTTGTTGCTTTTAAACCGCTCAACTGTTAATCAGTTATAAATTGATTAAACTCGAAAAGAAACATTTATGCTTTTCTGAATGGCTGCACTTTACGAATTAATAACGCCCGAGGCTTTTTATGATGAATTCAATACTTAATGATTTGCATAGTGGCAACACTTAAGTCCTGAAAAATGCAGATGCTTTGACTGAATGCTTATAAAAGCATGCAATCTTGATGTTATGTCTATGGTAGCTTAATAAGATAGCGTAACGTAGCAGGTTAAAAGGAGAATTAGAAAACACTTTGATGGTAAGGTTGTGAATGTCAAAAATGAAAAATATATAACCAAATGAATCTGCACCATTACATAATTTTCGAACGTTGGAAACATATTTTAGTAATTAAAATTAGCTTCTCGTATTTTAATTACTATTAATTAAATTATAATTAAAAATGAAATAAACAGCTAACCTAGTAACAATTGCAAAAAATTCAGTTTGATAAACAGTTACAGATGTCTAAATTCAAAAGGCAAGTTAAACATATTTTACCGAATAGCATTCTCAAAATTAATTAAAATATTTTCTTTTTCTCTACCTCGTGCTTTCGTTGTGTAACTGGAAGCACATACGGCTAGCGAACGGAAAGTCTGGAGTTAAAATCCTGGAGAGCGCATTGCGAATTCCTTCGATTCCTGCTCCAAACTAAACTCAGCGATTCTGCAAAGTGCATGACCAGGTAGAAGATAAATTAAAAATTATATGCTTCATGCAGTGGCAACAGTTGCGAAGTTGAGGGAGAATGCAATAGGATCTCTATTAATCCACAGAGCTGGAAGTCAAGTTAAAGAAATCATTGGTGGATTAGTAATATTAGATAATATACTATGAAAAGCAGGAACATTCGCGAATTTTTCTATCAGAGATTGATCCTTTGACAGTTTTTTTAATCCGAAATTGCTTATTTAACTGCATTATTATAAACAATAAAGGATGCGGTTTATATGTGTTTAAGATGAAAGCAAAACTGATAGTCAGACACGAACTGATAATGAACTCGTAAGCGCGTTTCAAAGTCTAAAATGTTGCGGAGACATGGTTCAAAAGCTGTAAAAAATAGTGGATTTTCAGATTTTGAATGGTGAAGTATCTATTCGCACAAACTGAAAGTGATGGTGAGGATGACGAATGAAACGGAAATGGACAATGTAAAAATCAGCCATATTAAAGCTTTAAGTAAAGGATCTTTTTTAGAGTAACATCCTGATGTTTCTCATATGGTCTTCTGTTGATAGAAGTGGCGTGATCGTACTGTGGTGATAGAAATAGAGAACTATCATAAAAACTGTTATAGAATTTTTTTAAAATTAGTATCTTATAAAAATACATGTAAGAAAATGCTGATAAGGATGTTTATTCCAGTCCTTTCATTAACATTTATGTCACGAAATAAAATTCTGTATGCAAAAATGGTTTATTTGAAGGAAAAAATATTTACTAATAAAGGAGTTTATTAAAATGTTAATAGTAATCTGTGCACTTACTTTTAGAATTTCAAATAGACAGTTTCAGAAAACCTTATCGAAAGAAGGACTGGCATGATTTAAGTCTAACCGGGTAGCCTAAATTAACCGAGGTGGTCACGTTTCAAACTACCTCGGATAATTGAGGTTATACGGTGCATTCAAGGTAGCGTAATGTAACATAACACATTTAACGGTACAAAATTTTTGGAAACAAGATTAAAGTAAAAAATCGTAAGAAAGATCAATTGATAGAAGTGTTAGGCTTAGGTTTAAATGCCAGAGGTCATGTTCCCTGAATATATAATTTTAGTCACTAATTAAAAGACATAGAAGATAATCGAACATATTTGAAACTGTTTGTAAGAACGTGAAACCTGTTGCTAAGGTATATTTTGAAAATTATTTGCTAACGAGAAATATCCAACGGTTTTTACTTATCTGTTTTAACATAAAACCATGGCTTCAAAAAAGGACTATTAACCAAATCTCAAACGCAAAATAATTGTCTCAGTATTTGTATCTGTTATTGAACCATTAATGGATTCATATTCTTTAGTTTTAATAGTTTCCGTAGTTATCTATTCTCTAACATTGTTCGACAATGAAACTGGATAATTCTACTCTCTTGGGTAACAAATTACATGCAGAGCAAAGACAAATGAGGAAATAATTAAAATAAATTATGCATAATGGAACTAACCTTATGTGAAATACAAATGAAACAAAATGTCAAATTTTATATAATTATTTTGATCTTCTCTCCGTATACAAATTATTAATCGTAAATGTTATATACAATGGACGGAATATATTTGCATGCTAGCATATATAATTTCAAAAATCATGATATGCGTAAACATTCTTTTAGCAAGCATAATTATATAATTATACTATCCTTTAGCGATCTAAAAGTTGCTACATTTTAATACGAATTGTTAATGAAAGGACTGGAATAAACATCCTTATATCCAATAACTCTGACCAATAACTCTGACATTCGAAACAACTCTGACCAATAACTCTGACATTCGAAAACAGGAGGAAAAAGGAATTTAAAGTCATTATTACTTATTCACATACTTTAATTGTCAATTGACTTCTTGCCTATTACTTTCGAATTATATTTAGAAGGAATGTGTTTCCATGTGTTATGAGAATTTTTTGGTTTTTATAGTGTAGTGGTTAATTTTTTCCGCGAGCGTTGTGTGCTGATAAATGCGAAGCTGTTGCTAAATATTTTGGAATGAAGAAATGGCTGTTTCTTCATATTTTTAAAAATCTATTTCAAATCTTTAAGCAGAATTCCATTTGGATTGGACAAAATAACAAAAGTGGGGGGGGGGGTAGAGCACAGATTTTTGAGTTTTATATTAATAGCATTTAGCAGTCATTCTCAATGCTACTGCATTCTATTTCCATCCACAACACTAATTCCAAGCTTCCTCTCTGTTAGAATTTGAAAACTTGTGCTTCGGCATGCAAAGGCTTTGAATATTTCTTTCAATGCACATAAAAAAAATATGCATCTTTTGTATAAATTGCGAACATGTACTCCACTTAAGACAAGTACTGTTGGAAATAACGCAGCAATTTTGTTCAGCTCAGAAATGTTTGCCAATTCATGATGAAAGATTTGTTTTGGCTCGAGATTCAAGTAAAATGTGTAAAACGTGTTTCGAAGTTATACGGCTTCAATTAAATGGCGAATAAATAAATAATTGGCCATCATAACATTATTTATCATACGTGATTAAAAATAAAGTGATGGATCTGATAACAGTAGTAGATTTTAAATCAATATTGCCAAAGAGAAATTTAAGCGAATTGAATTATACTTATATTAACGTCGTTTCTTTACTTTAATATCTATTGTTCCTTGAAATTCTGTTAATATCTTAATACTGTATGTTGCAGGTTCAAATTCTATTAAATAATATGACCAAAAATGAATTATTTTTTACTTTTTAGTGCATTTAACTGAAACTGTGTGATTTAAAGCAGCTTTTGTACATTTTATTTCATACTTTTACTGTATAGTATATAGCAAAGTAATAACGAAAGAAAATCTCTACCTCTAAAGCTATCAAAATTAATCTTTTTAGTTTGGATTAAGTCAATATTCAATTTCATTTAAAATTTTGTTTTATTTAGAAATGCAATTTAATCAGGATTAAAAGGTGAAGAAATAATTTTAAGATTTGATGCAAATTAATGAACAAATAAGTAGTAAACTAAGTTAAATGAAATCGAATAAATTTTTAAACGAATGTTTGAATAAAATAATAATGAATCAAAGGTTAAGGACTAACTATAAAATTTTCATTCGTTGAAATACTACAACAAGTACTTATTTCCAGGATCAAATTTTGTGTATTTTTTGATTAAGTTGATTACAAAATGTTTCAGAATAGAATAGCAAATAGTCAATTAACGTTTCTGTCACTTCGGGAAATAATACTAATTACAATATTTGAAACTTGCAATTTTATTTATTTAAGACAAAATTTATTAATATAAATAAATTTTGTAACAATATATTTAGTTATCAACAACCCATTTATAGAAATTTTGATAAACGTAAGTTAAACTGAAATTATTTATTGAAATACAAAATATATGAGTACATTCAGTTACTTACTTTTCATTCTTGACTCTTTCTTAGAGATTTATCTTAAGTGGTGAACGATAAAAAACAGCTGTTTGTTAGAAAAAGCAGATAATAATAGCTGCAGTTTATATATCTTTTGCACTCACTTTACTTTGATCTGAACGCTATATTTCAAACGTTCTTTCTCGATTATGCTGAAATGTTCTTTATCAGGACATTATGTTTTTTGATCACAGTAGCAGTAAGTATTACTCATTTCCACAATTTCTCAAATTACTTCAAAACTGCCAACACTTAAGTACTATTTTTCAGCTCAGCGGTTCTTATTAATCGAGTGCATTCAGTTTCCTAAACTCTAGTAATTTCACTCAGGGATCTCACAAAAAAGATGATTCAATCCTGTGTTCTATACAAAATTCTTTCGTCAAATCCATAAGTCCGCTAAGTAGGAGGCTCCTCATCTGTGCGTAATATGCTGTACTACACACTCATTTCCTATTTAAACTAAACCTAAACTAAATTTTAATGACCATTGGTGGAAGAAATAGAAATTATAAAAATAATTAATATTAAAATAATGTATTAGCTAAAATAAACCATACATGTTTACTTGAATATATATATATATATATATATATATATATATATATATATATAAATTATATATATTATATATATACATACCTGAAGAATTCCTATTATATATATACATTTTCTGTTACAATTATGTGTTGAATAAATACTGAGCAGAGCAATTTGAAGTAAGAGGCAATAAGAATGTAAGACCCCTTTGCTAGTAAAAAATAATAAATAAAATAAAACAGAATTAGTGTACCTGTATAAGAATTTGGTTTAAAATGTTTGCTGCTTTCAGGTCATAAAAGCCATTCCCTTCCAATCGTGCAATAAAAATTCAGATTGCGGAGAAAATTCTGTGTTACTGCTCCATTCATGATGAAGCACTGCGAACCGATTGTACTTGAAGGTATATTAAAATTTTAATTTTTTATTACATATTGGGCAACGTGCCCAGTCCTGAGTCTTCACTGTGAATGAAGTCCCAGTCTTATCAAACTTGAATTAATCATTAGAACAGCATTTAATGCAAAAAATTCTAAATATATTTTTTACTGCTTAAAATTTTAGAGTCTTATATAAATCATACAAGTTTATCAAATGAGGCAGCAAAATGAGGTTATGTTATAAAATAAAGAGAATTAATACTAATAATAATACCATCATTTAATTTACTTTGATTATCCTAACATGTGATTATTGTATTTGTAACTTAAAATAAATTTGTTATGCAAAATAAGGAAAACCCTGCAAACTTAAAAAATAAAATAATTAGAAACTTTCAAAAAATTGCAATTAAATCTTTGTATGTTGATTCACTTGATTTTAGTTAAACAATTTTATCTAAGAAGTTACTATAAACCATATAGATTAAATGCGAATTTTTCAGGCATTCAAGACGTAAAACATAAAATTATATATTATAAACTGTTCAAAATAGCAGAGAGAAACTATAGAAAGAAATGTATGATATTAAGTATGATATAATATCATCATAAGTTATCGCCACCTTCTGCCATACGTGTTTATTTAATAGGAAAAGACTTTGTTATTTAAGATGTAGCTGTACATTTATGTCTCTAAATCGCCTGCACACGAAGCTTGCAATGGATATTTTTCTCAATTGAAAATACTCATTATTTTGCCAGAACATTAAACTAACTTCTTGAACTAATGAACGTCTCGACAGAAACTTCATTCGATGTGTTTACTGCATGCCTATTTTTATTCAACTTCTTTGAAGTCTAGCGATAAACCATTCAAAACAACAGTAAAGTATGTTTAAACGTTTAGCGGTTTTTTACTAATGTTTAAAATTATGCTATTAAGACTGCGTTTCATTTATTAATGTTAAGAAAGCATTTGCAACTAAGAATTCAAATGTTATATTTTGCTGAAATTTTATAAGTATCAAAAATGCATTTGACATAATAATCTCTACAAATTCTGGACTACAGTTTTTAAACATCTATTTCATTTTGAATCCCATTGTAAAAAGCAATTTATAAAATCTAAATCTTATGCTCAGAGTTATTTAAGATATGTAAATAGTCAGAATGACAGAAAAGTAAAGTAAAACAAAATTATTCCAACGAACAAATGAAATAATTTCTGAATTTGAATTCTTAAGATGATCACATAAGTCAAATGATAACATTTTCACCGTGTGATCGTCTTACATTTAACAAACCTTCGCAATAACGATTTGGTTAAAATTGTTCGTAACAAAAGTATATCTTCAAAATCTTCTTCATAAAAGCTGTAATACCTTTTAAATTCATTACTCATGTGAAGATCACTCTTCTATAAACTGTCTATCAAGAAATGGAAGAAGGTAATGACTGCAGAGATTTCAACCGGATGACAGACGGTCAAGTCCGCAATTCGTTTAGCATAGCCGCTGTAGAACGTTCTGCCATGCTTAATTTAGGTGATCACGAGCGATACTGGCCTTAACGTAGTCTTGCCACACCTTACGTGGGCTTTTATTAGATTCAGAACGAAATCGTTTGCAAATAAGTAAATGACGTCGTCAGTCACAAAAGGGAATAAAGTCACAAAATCAACCGAATGAAATTATAAAATAGAAATTCCACAGGTAAATAGGAATAGGAAAGTGGATCTGTAATGACGATAGCATATCCTTAAATTCTTGATATTGTCGGGTATCATTGCCATTTTCTGATATCAGTGAAATTCACAGTTTATTTTCTGGAGCTAAACTGTGTAACAAGACATATTAGAAAATGATTCTATCGAACCTATGTAGTAGAGAATGGGAAAAAAGGAATATCTTTTCCTATGATATGATTTTTAATGAGTAATATTATTATAAAAGTGGAATATAACAAATTATACTTTCAGGTGACTACTGTTTGACAAAAGATTATTCATTCCTTTTTAACGATGTGTACTTCTTAAGATGCCCTTGCGCGCGAGGCTTTAAATGCATTGGAGGAGAAGGCAGCTTTCCTGGTGGTAAAGACAATTTTCTAGTAAGTGCTTTTCTTTTATGCACACTGGGTGACTTAATGGTTAATTTTCATAAATTATCCTTTCTGAACAGTTTTAACTCCAGGAAATTAACATTTCGGAAGAAATTTCTTGCGCCACTTAAATCTCACTCTAGTCTGCTTCTACAAGATAGGTCGAGAAAGATAACAGTAAAACAACTTGGCGTAAAACAGAGGACTCTTTAACGAAGAACAATGTTTCTTTTGCCTTTCTAGTTCCCATGGCAACGAAAGGTTTTCAGCATTTGTTGAAAATTTAATCCCAGATAGTGTTGTTCAGTAATAAATGTAAGACCCTAGTTCAGCAGTTTTTATTTGGGGTAATGTTTCACGAGGTGCGTAAAGTGAGTAAAACTGATAATAAACTTCCGAAATAAATTTTAATATCGATCAAGCTCAGTTCGTTGGTCGAAAATGAAGGTTGTAAAGAGCCTTCTATGATGAAATGGAAATCTATTATTCCCGTTTAGGAGTACGTTCTATTCCTTTTTGTTTTATTCGTATTTTTGATCATATAGAAGCATAATTGTTAATAAAAACTAGAAAAGCAGGATGATAAAATGAACTAGATATCATTCGTAATAGAAAGGGTTTGGTCAAAAGATCACAGCTGTAATATTTATCAACTCGGTGCTACTTTGGTAGACGGTTGCACGGATTTTGGCGAATTTGTTTTTGGTGAGTGATACGACTTGTGATAAACCCATTATTTATGGTAACCAAGTTATTTATAGTAACCGATACTTTTGTCATTTTATTTAAAAAATAATGCGTTTTATTATGCATAAATTCCATGTTTTAAGTATTATTTATGGCTTATAAATATTAAAAACCAATTCAATTTTGCCTTTTTATTTGAAATAAAAATATTATTGTTTATGATATTTTGTATAATTCGTTCTGGATGGTGTAATTAGTGACGTCACCTTGCTTTAAATGTAATTGGTTTTAATATCTATAAATTTAATCTGATGTTTTAAGTATTATTTATGGCTGTTAAATATTAAAATACAATTTAATTTTGCCTTTTTTAAAAGAGATTTTATTATGTATGATTATTTAAACAATTTTAATTCTAGGCGTGATGTAATCAGCTCCCTGATTGGTTACAGAATATTTGTGCATTAATGAGCTGTAATCAGCTCCCTGATTGGTTACTGAATATTTGTGCATTACCGCGCCATTTTAAAATGTTATTATTCATCTCTTCAAATTCCTTAGATTTCATAGGAAACGGATATGTCCCTTTCAAAAATTAATGTTGTTATTGGTAAGTACCAAGAATTATTTGTATCGGAATTAAAAAAAAAAAAATGTCCTTTGAGGCCTTATTTTGGCCAAACTGGCTTTCCTAATCAAAGATTTATTTATAAATTGCTACAAGGGTTCGAAGAAATTTATTTTAAATTTTTGGACGAAATCTCACTAATTGCTTCTTCAATCAAGTGCGAGAAATGTGGATCGCAGATGTGAAGATCGTTAAAAGAGCCGATTCTAAGGACGGCCGTATATGGTATTGTGGTTCACAATGGAAGAAATAACAGTTGTAATGGTAAAAAAAGTATTAGACATTCCTCCTTTTTTACCAGCAGTCATTTTAGCTGTAGTGTACGAAGCGTTCTTATTTGCTTATTTTAAAGTATTTGAATTTAACTAATATTTTAATTCTTTTAAACGTTGGTATGATGGTTTTTAATTCGATATTCAATTTTACGTAACTTTTTAATTCAATTAAACGTTGGCGCAATGTTTTTATAGCGGTATTTTTATTCTATTTCTGTGCTATATGAAAGTAATAATTTAGCCTTACTTTAATATTTTATACTCGTAGTAAATATATTTATTTACATTTGCCTACCATCTCAAAAAACAACGTTTTTAACAAAAAAAGTAATCCATTATTTTTAAAGATATTTTCTTTTAAGTTTCGAATACTTTGCTATGTGTAAAATACATATAAAAACAGCGTTTTCAAGATGGCTGACGATTGTAAAAACCGCGCCAACAATTGCGCCAACGAAAATCGCCAAACATCCGTGCAACCGTCTACCAAAGTAGCACCATCAAGCCTAGAACTAAAACACAGTAATTGTCTTTTATTTTACCTTTAACGTATTGAAAATTTCAAATAGAGGTGTAGTTAGGAATTTGCAACAGAAATTGCGCAAAGACCGCGCTAAGATCCAAAGTATGGGGTACCTTACCCAATTTGTCTCAAGACTTGTTAGATACAAAGAAATATCAAAGGAACTTACTTAATCATATATATAAATGCGTCTAGCCCGCCAGATTTGTTTCCCATATAGATAACAGAAAACATTGTTCTTAGAGTCGCCATGGACTAACTTAGATAAATAACAGTTTCGAATTAAAAATTGTTTCTTGACTATATGCCAACAAGGGTTGGCACTAAGGATAACATGGGGAGCTCAATTTTTAGAAGATGTCGCTAAGCTGCTTTCTCAATAGACAGCTAAATAAGTATATATTTCGCTTTTAAGTTATTAATATACTTAATTTATACGAGACGCCAAATTTACTAACCATCTAGGATGTTGAAAATATTGAAACCGGTCTCATGTGCTGGGTAACAAAGGATTACACGACAAATTATTTTATATCTCAATACAAAGAAAGCAATAGAACTTAATTATTTATCGGTATAAATCAGAAAATTAAGTCTAAACTTTATTTAAAATTTACAAAAAAAAAAAAATATAAATAAAAAAAAATAAAAAATATAATATAATTTCTTACAGGGCATTCAGAACTGATGACTGCAAGCTTTATTTGCTTAACTGTTAAAGCTAAACCTCTGCTCCGAATTACAAAATTTCTCAAAGTAAAGTACAATTTTATAAAACAAGTTTTAACATTGGAGTTTTGAAAATATATAATCTCTCTTATTGTATAATCACTGTGGAGTACGAAAACCTAAATGGACAAATAAGTATTACTTTTAATGTATTAAATATAAAATGTTCGATGCTTTACCTACAATATAAAGATATACGTGTAATTAATATTTTCATGGGACCAGCTGCAAGTTTAAGAACGTATACTATTTCACACAGTGAAGAGCTACTAATTGCCAAAACAAACTCTAATTTTACCGCTACTTCACAATTTTTTTTATAAAGTAGTAGGCATTGAAACGTAATATAGTACACAACATTAGTTCTTGAGCAGTCTCGCAAATTTTGAAGTTAAAATGCTATGATTTCGTGAATTTTCTATACAGTAAATACTTTTCTACTTGAAATTTTTGTTTTGCGAGGACTAAGTAAAAGAGTTAGATTTTACAGTTACAGAAACTTTCCACTTTCAGTACAGAACTTTTTGTAAAATATCTACATTTTGAAAAACTTTGTATATGAATCTACCTGACTAAAACAACAATTTTAAAAAATGCAAGATAATGATACATAAGATATTTCTTGAATGATTGACTGGTCGTAAAACTCTAGTCCAATGAATCAAGCTAGATAGGTTTCCAAACACTGAAAATGTTGGGTCCGCGGTGTCTTTTAATAAAAATATAAGAAAATTGTATTTTCAGACGATGCATTTTATGATGTTTCAATTAAAAAGTTGCCTCAAATCCTACTAAAGATTTTTAGGCGGGGAATAAATCGATTCCGTAAAATAAATGTTGTCCTTCAATAAAGAATCTCAGAACTGTATGCTTTAAATAACTGTCATCCAAATTAAAAACCCGAACAAATAACCTATCGGTTAAGTTAAAAAAGCTAAATATATATATATGTGCAACATAAAAATCAAACAAAATGCCTCCAACTACGAAATTTGAGTTTCATAAACTCTGCATACAATAATTTGAAAACAGCGTTTCTTTGTTGGATTTTTCTTGCGTAGTTAAAGTATTTCTCAGAAATTCATTTTCGTTAACTTAATATGCGTAACTGCCTGAAGAAATATTTGTATACGGTGCACAAAAATTATATTTAATGGTATTGAATCCCTTGACTGACTCGACTACGGGAAAGAAATTTTTCTTCTCCGAGTATCGAACAGAAATTTTAATTTTGGATAACTTTAATGAAATATATTATGCAACCAAAATTTTTGTAGTTTGAAAGCTTATCTTACTTGATTTATTTCTTAAAGTGTAATGTAATTTATAACCAGAAATTCAAAAAATATTCATTTGTTCTTTAAAATTTATTTGTGGTTTGAAATATTCGGGTATAGAAGCGATGAGACTGAATATCAAAATAACCGGGCCCACCAGCGGCCGAGCGGTAACGTCGCTGAACACTGGTAGTTCGGTCCGAGGTTTGAATCACGCGAACGGGCTGGTTGCATGGGCGTTTCATGGTTTTCCCATGTGTAAACGTGTCTCAGCCAGTTCCTTTAAAAATCTCCACGAAGGCATCCCTCCCTTAAGGCAGAATCCGAGTGCTGTGCCGTACCTAATCAAACAACAAAGGAAAATAACCTAGTTTTTGATGAACTACTACTACGATTAATTTTCTGAAGATATCTAAATTTATCGCAACATTGATCTTTAGAAACTTCTTACAGTGAAGCATAATTATTTTCTGTTACTACGCTTAAGGATTAGTTTAGCATGTTTAATTAAATTTAATTATTATATTATTTTTCGAATGCCAATGTAGAAGCTATCTTATGAAGAAAGCAAGACTCCATTTATTCTCAAATAGGAAGAACTCTGCAGCAGTGAACGACATCGCAATAAAAGTTAATTATCAAATTATAGTTTTCTATTTTAGAAATGTCATTCTATACAGATAATTCTTGAATAAAATTTATTCTGCAAATTACATTTGTTAATTTGGAAATACAAGACTATTATTTTTTTCAATTATTTAACTGAATTTTAATATTATATTTCAAATTACAGACTTAGATTACTTTTTCTTGTGTGCAATTGAAAAAAAACATTTTAATATGCATCTTCGGCAAAATACAGATTGAAAAATGTTTTTCGGAAGCCAATT